GGCCATGAATGACCAACCACGAGGGCCCGCGGGTAATTAAAATATACTTACTATCAAATTTCTAAATGTTAATTAAAGTAAACTCTAATAAAATTTTAAACTTAACCGCATACGGCATATCGACCTTGAGCGATGTGTGGGTATGGATACCAACCAGATACCAACATAATGATGTCTAACTGGTCACGATTTCGGTTCCTCATCCTAAATAATTATTAATGATACATGATCATGGAGCGTCTTTGACGAGTCGATGTTTTTGTGTATAACCTTTTTGCTTGAGTCATCGTATTGTAATCGAGAATGTTATGGGTACCTAGAGTTCCTGTAATATGTAGTCTTATTAGAATCTTAAATATCCTTGATTCAGAAGGCTCTTCACAAGTTAAGCATCTATCCTGCCGTCAACAAGATCTAGATAAGAGGTTTCGGATATGAATACGAATGAAAGGTTTGTTAACTAAATTTTAATATTATTCAAAACGGAAAAAAAATCTTCTAATAAACCTCATCGGAGGCCCGGATCGACTGTTTCTAACCGGGATAAAACTTAATACTGCGTTTACAATAAGATTATGCAACTCAATAGCTGTCATGTTCGTAGATACTCACTGGTACTCACTTTACCTTTGATTGCGTTACCATGACGATATTTGCATTTAACCTGTGTCGAATCCAATTTATCGTCACTGCAACTCACGAATTGACCTTGTTTTAATAGGAAGAAGCATTGATGGTAAACACCGTAATATAGCACATAAATAATAACACTATCCACTTCATTAAATTTATTTTGACTGTCGTTTCATAAAACAATAAAAAGTTCATGGTATATATTATGTTGATTTTCTTTCCCGTGCATTTGGCCTATTCATATTTGAGAAAGTGCATCTTTGGATGTGCATTTTCTCAAATATTCGTAAGTCGTTTAAAACTTTATAAAAATGAGAAGATTTTTGGATTCAAATCAGTAGTTTTGTTTTTATTTCAAAAACTGGAAGAACTACGTTCATCGTCTGCCACTTCTAAATCATTTTTTTTAATTAAACTGATTTAAATAAACCTATCAATAAATTTTGTAATACCTGTGGATTTAGGTACTGATTTTTTTCTACATTTGAGTTATCATATAGTTATGGATTTTCCGAGCGAATTTCTCAGGTCAAACGTAAGAAGAAAGATTGAAGTATTTATTATTACATACACGATATACGATAGATTTGCAACCTGTCTTAAAGTAACCCCTCTGACAAACTTTTAATTTATTAAATGCCAGGTCTGTAGCAGATTTAACATTGACTTACATCATTTTTGAACTCAGATACCCCACTTACGATTGACCGAATCCTGAGGGAGCATAGAACGAACATAGAGCATATTAATTTCAACGACGAAAGCGACGTCTGACTAGATATACTTTCTTAATTCTATTTCCGTGGTAGGCTCTAGTTCGTTGACGGTTTGAATTTTGCCGCTTTCATTTTTCATTTTTTTTATATATATATATATGACATAGTAATTTTAATATTCTTCTTAAAGAAAAACTATGTGAATCCAGTCTTTTTGAACAAAATGTTAATATTGACATACTAAAATTAGATGTGTTGGGAGAAATGTAGGGCCGCCAACTGTGCTCTAAAATCTTACTCTATACTTAATCAATAATAGAGGACGCTAGTCGTTCTTTACACAATATTTATCATACTAGTGCCAGTCGCATAACTAAAAATGCTAAAAAATATTTGCCTCGTTTGAAATCAATTACTCTGTCTTATTATAAAAGCTACACTAACCTGCACTAGTGAAATGTGGTAGGGGCGAAGCGAACTGCGGTCGACCGTAGAGACGTCTCTACGGTCACCTACCGTCCCTACCGTTACAAAACTTCTTTGCCTTTTTGCGAGTTAGCAAAAACTTTCGTAACTTTAAATCTAAAGTGTACCTGCGTAAGGTATTTTTTATTCTACTAGTCAGTGGCTTGCGGCAGTGTGGCATACTCAATGAGATCCGGGTACTTTAATCGATCTTATAAATAACAAGCATATCTAATAAGAATAGGTAACAACATATAAAATTCGAAAGCTTAAATATGTGTTGTGCTTGACTATTATTTTATAGAAAAAATACTTACCACTTAAAAATCCCGTATCTTGGGTATGGCCAAGAAGAATAGACTGGCAAATATCTTAATAGTTTTTCTCTTATTATTATAGAAAAGCATTAGATCTTTAAAGCACTGTGAATGCGAAATTTTTCATATTTCTAAAGTTAATCCCAAGTAGGTATTCTTAAGAACTTACACAAAAAAATACAAAAATTCTAAGTAATAAGGTGTTATATAATATTTATTTCTATATATGATAATAATAAAAAGGAAGTAATTGATTGTTTGTTTGTTTATGGAACTATTTCATCAAAGGCATATTCTGTGTACATTCATAGCGACATCATACGCGAGACGCGGGTGACATAGGCTATAATTTATGTGGGCGAAGTCGCGGGAAAACAGTTATTTATAATGACTTTCATTTGACATGTTAATCAAAATATACATGTAACTAGGTAGGTAACTAAAACATTTTCAGTTTTTTAATTTAGCCCCCACATTCTGCCTACATGGTGAAACACATCTATTAAAACTATTACCGAATTTTGCATTCACAATGCTATACTTAAAAATATTCTTAATTAATAATGCTTAAAAATAAGCCGGAGCTCTATTTTTGAATCATTATACGACCTAAGTCAAGTCAAGCGTGACTTAGCTCGTATACGGCAAGGCGATTTAAAACGAGTGAATCGAAATAGAGCTCCTGACCAGGCGCCCGGATTGCGAAAGTTCGTGGGTTCGAGTCCCATATCAGAGTACCTGGGACAAATGAACTTTTTAAGTATTTTTCACTAAGAATATTAAATTACCATAGTTGACTTATTGGGTATATAAACTACCTCGAGTCAATATATTCATCAATGCACACGCTGGACTTGCAGAGCGCTGCTGCAGTTGGGAGTGGTATCGAAGCCGGTCCAATGTTATAATATAATCAAGTGAAAGTCGGAACTCGGGAGATAGATATTGGGTATATTATTATCCAATATCGGATTACAAAAGGAAAATGGCGATCGATCGATATCTCTTGAAATCAATCGTCATGATTCGTGAAAGAATATTGTGACCAGAAATAAAGTCCAAATACCTAAATACAATTCGTGATAAAAGTGGTCCCAAAAATCCCGGACCCAAAAAATCACCGTAAAAAGTATAAAAATAAAAAAACTCACCTTAACAAAATGCTCATTGCAGACGAGGGGCTGTTCTGTTGAACATTTATAATTAAAAATTTATTTCTGAAGAGAATTTGTGAAGTTTGTATTTCATAAAACATTTAAGTACCACAAACATTTAAGTCCTGCCTGGCGGTATCAGCTCATAATGATTAATGCCCTTTCAATCCCACCATACACACAGCATCACCTTGTTGCGAGTTAACTCGGGTTTCGCCACAGTCTATGAAGCCTGACCGATCTTTTTAACACGTTTTTGTCGTACGTGATCCAATTTTCATTTCAGCTTTTGAAATTACATGATCAGCTTTTTCAAAAATGGTTCGGTTTGATTACGCCGTAATAAAGAATCACAAATGAGTACACTATTCATTTGGTTTCTTTCAGTGAGCTCGTGAGGTACCTACCCAAATATTCAACTTTTTTGTGTATCCAGCTTTTTTCAAATGCGCCAAAACTGTTTTGTGGTCAGTCCCCAGTTCTTTAGCTACGTCATAACTACTGATATACCGGTCTTGAACCATTTTTCAAATATGGGATCCTTTTTATCCGTAACAGAGCGACCGAAGCGACGTGCATATTTGACATCAAAATTTCCGGACTGCAAACGCTTAAACTCAATTTGTGCTACTCTCATAGAAACTGCACTAGGTCCATAAATGTACCGAATTTCTTCATTAGATTCACTCATTTTGAGAGTAAGAAAAACAAATAAAACAGTCCCACATTTTCCTATTTTGAATTCGCAGTTTCTTTAAATTTTAATCTTTTTAATGTTACCGAAACCAGCCAGATACAAATGGTAGAAAGATTTTATTATAAGTTTTCCATACTTATATGCGAAAAGACTTCTCCCAACCTAATGTACCAAATGCATTTTCAGTACAAATTATTTTAAAAGAACTGCCTATTTTTATTTATTAATACATAGATAAAATCGTCCTATTAAGAGCTATCTCATAATATAATAGTCAAAACAAATAAAATTGACATTCTCACAAAATTATTCAAGCATCAGATTACGTAAGGTAATTTTGACACTACACACACTGGCCTCGGTAGCGCAGTAGGCAGCGCGTAAGTCTCATAATCTTAAGGTCGTGAGTTCGATCCTCACCCGGGGCAAACCCACTTTTTGAATATTTTTATTTTAGTTTAAATACATTTTATTCCATAATCAATTGTCTTCTCAAACTTTTTTTGGCTTTGGATTACTTGGAAACTGGAATTATTTGAGTAAAATAAGTTTTATTTCGGTTCCCGCTTAAAAATTTGGTTTTGTAAATCTATAAACTACTTTTAATTTAACTCCGATCATAATATGTATGACCATTATTTTCGTCAACACTGGAGAGTCCTAGGATTCCGCGGAGCACTGAGAAACGCCGCTGTAGATTGTTTCATTACGACACAATTGTTAATCATAACCAACAATGAAACCGATAACAGTCTACATTTCTCATGGTGGTATTTGTTAATGTATTTCACCATGTGACATGGGAAGCAGTTAAGAAAAATTGCAAATCTGCTTTATGTAACCCACATAAATATTTGTAGGCAAACAACACTGCGAAGGTACGACATCTAGTATGCAATAGCGGAACTAAATGAAATACATCTTTTATTAACATTAATTATTAACATCCTAAATGTTTTTCTTATAATAATGTCCGTTTAATTAAACTTTTTTTTATTGTATTATTTTTTTATTGCAGATTGTTCATTTTATGTTGAGCAGTAATTCTACGCCCCGACGTTAGTGGACGAAAAGATGTAAGTCAAAAATTTAATATTTTCGTTTAGCCATTAATAAAACATGAATGCCTACATTTTACAATTACAATGTTCGATGTTTTGATTATATCTGGATTATCCGTACCCGAAATTTCAACATAATCGAAAACTATTACCTTATCGCTAGGCCATCTTTAACGAATTTATAAGCGGATGGTGTTTTTAACTCTTTGGTAACGAACGCTTGACCAACTTAAATTTGCTAGTGTTTTTAACTACATCATTCTTATTCTAATGCCATAAGATTGGTAATAGTTTTTTTTTCCAGTAGTGATGTTTGTCTTAGTAATTTGGCTGTTTAACCAAAACATAAGTCTGTTATGTAAACTTTAAGGTCATACTAAGGTCGATCGTGTATCGGATATTTTATCAGTGCCTATTAGCAGTGTAGATATTTGCGTATCATTGAAAAATTTCTTAACGTTACTATAATTTTGTAAAAATTCCTAAAATACCTTCAGTGCAATCTAAAGATATGTAAAAAAAAACTTCAAGTCGGCTAAATAAGAATATGAACCTTCAAAACGTTTTATTACTTAATCTACAAATATTTATAAGTATAGTATTTGTAATGGGAAAATTTATTCCATAATAATTATTCTAATTGTAATCAAAACTGTTTCACTGACAGATGGCTTCATTGGCTCTAAATATCCTTAATATCTCTCCTTACTTGTCATCGTGATCTTACACAGAAATTTATTAATAATTTATATATTCATAAAAATTTGTTATTAAAGTAGAAATTAAAAAAGTAATTTATATGACACGATTGATTATTGATTAATGTCTATAGCGTGAAAATAATGATTACACCAATACAGCAATAAAGTTGATTACTATATCGTTATACAACTAATTATGTGTAATCATTGCACTATTTGTTTCCAGTTATTACTGTTTTTCCAATATTCTGTTGATATTTAATTTTGATTACAAAATTTATTAACTACGCAGCTTTAAATATTAGACGCAGGTTTCGAGAAAACGAATGTTGATATCTCTTTTTAACTGAGGCTTTGTTTGGTCTCTAACAAAACCTTAAAAATAAGAATAGATACGGGTTTTTCTTTGAACATGTTATTTTAATTATTATAGATGATTTAGTTGATCAATTTTGCATTCCCAATGTTTTACTGAATTTTTTTCATTAATTTTTTTTTTCATCCATTTTCATAAAGAACAGTTTATTTTTATCATTTGTATCTCTGTCACAGAGTTACGTGACGATCGATTTACATTACATGCCTAGGCGGACATTGATAATAGTCAATATAAATACGTGTTCTGTGTCAAGAACGTGATTCATACTTGAAAATACCTTTTGAGGTATGTAAGGAATACCAGTTCTATACGCTCATTCTTTCGTTCAGGGAAATTATAATAGACTTAAGAATATGTTCACCACAAAAACCGTACATTCGTTTTGAAATTATAATACAACAGTAAATTAAATTTGAAATAATGACAACTTTAAATATTTAATAGTTTTACGGAGGGCTTTGTAGCCCAAGTTAAAGTTTTAAAAAGCAGAGTACCACTTGTTGCGGTTATGTCAATAAATCAACGTAATTATAATTAATATTCGTTGAACAAAAACGAATCTCTGCTGCCAGTAATTAGAGTGTTAAGCACTTGAAGGTTATTTAGAAAAACTAGCTTTCTGCCAGCGGGTTCGCCCGCGTGGTCTTGTATTTAACATAAAAACCTTCCTTTTGTATCAACCCTATCTATGAGAAAAAACCGCATCAAAATCCGTTGCGTAGTTTTAAAGATTTATGCATACATATGTATATAGGGACCGAGAAAGCGACTTTGTTTTATACTATGTAGTGATATAACAATTTTTGGTAAAATATATCAACAACTATCTTGAAGAAAAAAAATGTATCCAATAATATTACTTAACTTCATTAGAATTTTCCTAACGAATATTACGATTTAAATGTAATCTAAATTAATAAATGTTTTATAATACCCCGCTTACAATGCGCAATAAATTAATTTTTCTGTTATCTTAAAATGACCATGAATATAAAAAGCTGTCATTTCACAAATTTTTATGTTCAATTATTGGAGTATCTCTCTATATAATCTTTAATTTAAGTAGTGTTTTAAGTTATTTTAACAACTAAGATAACAGGAGTTAATTATTTTATCATAAAAAGTTGTTATAATTTACTTTAGTGCAAACGTTAATTAAATATAAGTTAATTTTATCAAGCTCAAAATGTCTTAGGTTATGTCACTTAATTAGCTTGACAACAAACAAGATCGATGCACAGATTTGTCTAAAATATAATCTAATATTTTATGCGACAATCAGCTTTCACAAAATCTCTATACAGCCAGTGAACTTTTAACGAAATTTTAGCTCATTATGCTGATCGACCTGCAAAATCAACATATCATTGCGACAGTGTCACTTCAACGCATTCCAAAGTAAAGGTAAAGCACATATTACGTATGCGCTACCGACCTACATCGTCAAGGTTAGTCATTTCGCGTAGGCTGTCGTTTCATTGTCTGTAATTGCAATTAGGCAGTTTTAACACCTACTAACGTGCATGTTAGAAAGCGTGAATCTTAATGTCTGCATGTGCAGGTGGGTCAATATCAACACCATCAATGAAAGATTTTGATTAACTAATATTTGCTGACGATACACAACAGACTTAACTAATTGAAAGACGAGTACTGTGATATATAGGCCTCTACGAAATCGATTTATCAAAAATAGGTATCTACTTTAAATTATTTTGCAACGTGAAAGGTTAAAATAATGATTTCTAAAATAATGATTTCACACACTTTTTTGTAGTTTTAAAAACCAATTTTGTAATCTAAAATAATGTTTTTACAAATTTTTAGTCTTTTATTCTTTACATACAAATGAAAATTAAAACTCCTAAAAAAGTTATTTTTATTTTAATAAACGGAATAGGTTGAAATAAAGAAATCGATTCAAATGTCTAATAAATAGCTGTTTATGAACAAACTCAAGCAACACTCGTTACTTAACAGAGTCAGGGAGTCGTTAAATGATACTTCGTGTACGCACCTTAACAATGAGGCTTGCGTAACATATTTGTGCTTGTGACAGTTGATTATTTTATGTAAGTATTGAAGTTATGATCATCGTACAGCCAATTTCACTCATAAAAATGCTAATAGAAAATATTGGTTATTTATTATTATTAAAAAAAAGACAAAAGCCATTTTAAGTTTCTAAATATTATGTTAAGAATTCCCCTTTCAGTAAACTTCATAATCTTTTCTTTAAATTGACATCGTTCTTTATCCGATGTGAGGTTAATTTCAACCTTCCAAGTAGAAATAACAGATTGCCAAAATCAAATAGATTTCATTCACTTTAAAAATGATGATGATGTGAGACTGTAATGCCGGCGCGTGCGCCATACTTTCACGCTATTACTTTTCCCGCACACCTGTTTTTCATTACACAACGAAACGGCTCACCGATTACGTTTAAACTTCCAGAGACCTGTTATTATTTCGCACTTAAGCCGACATGTATGATAACAATAATAAAATATGCTATCATTATTTTCAGAATAACGACCTATAGCAAAATGTCAAAAAACTAATCACTTAATTTTGGGTGTCCTTGTAGTGCTTATTATTTTTTTCTTTTAGAAATGATAAAAGCTTTATTAATGGGTTTGATTTTCACGGAGTAAAATAAAAAGAGACTTAGAATTTGTCTTTGGAGACGTGATAAGAAATTTGTTTATGTAAGTTTATGTATTTTGTTATAGGTCTTATTTCCTCTGTTTATATCTCCTGTACAATGTGCACACTACCACCTTTTATCTCCACATCACCCATCTGGTTGACTGGTAGAAAATGCCTAAGGCATTAAGTCCGCCAATGTATTATGTACATGAAATGTTAAATAAATAAATAAAAAAATAAATAAAAGAGCGTAAAAAGTAGTGTCTCAAATATAAATATATATGTTGCAAAAGTGATAAAACTAAAGAAAACATTAACAATCGATCATCCACATATAAAATACATACTTATGTATTCCATAAAGTTGAATCAATTAATATAATAGAGAAAGAGAGTAGGTATGTACTTACCTACTTATATAAAGCCATTAAATAGGTACCTATAACAGAACTTCAGAATATTTCATAAAGCGCTTTCGCTGATTTTACAAAGATTGACATTTTGTTATTGTTTAAGTTACGACGTTTTGTCTTCTATTCAATCGAATATTAAACAATTGATCATAAATTCATAATGACTTCATTTTTATTTATTTTAGACAGCGCCATCTGTTGCTAAAATGAAAAAATATCAAGTCTTCTCTGGCATTTATATAAAAGTTAACCAAACTTTCGCCTGAATTGAGTCAAGAAGAACAAAACAAACTTTCCCATTCACATAGAATGAGATTACGCCCTTAGGCTAGATGTCACTTTCAAGTCACCTCTGAGTTTGTCTATTATCTTTATCATTTTGTAGTACCTACACTTCACATTAGGGGGCGTCCATAAATTACGTGAGATGTTTAAGGGGGGGAGGGAGTCGAGTCAAATCTCATCCAATCTCACGTTGGAGAGAGGGGGGGTCTCAGCAAATATCACGCAATTTTTAAAATAAGGCTCGGTGCGGGGAATCCCTCATAGAGTGACAAGTCTAAGGTTAAGATCATTCACTAATTCGTTGGAAAGTAAATAATTTCATTCGTACTTTGACATTATACATCACTCCTGATTGTCAAACCACTATACTCGTTTTATACCAAATAGCTCAATTTAATTTGAATTTACGGTACAATGTAGCCCGTCCTTTGTTTTCGCGCCACTGTCAGCTGAACGTGTGACTCGATGAATGAGAGCAATATGGATTACTAGTCTCTAACTAGTCGTAAATAAAAGTACGAAGCGAATTATTTTTTTTTCTTTTTATTAAAAAATCCAACGTGTTTAAATAAGAAACCCACTTTT